AGATTTGTAGACCTGGTTTCAGGAAACCACGCTTTGTGCTGGAGCCTGTAGCTCACCCGGGGTGGAAGAGATGCTGCCAGCCAGCCATGGCGGCTGAGCAAGCCCACCCCGCCCCCAGCCACTGGAACGAGGAAGACGGAGACTCTCCTCCTCTCGGTGCTGCTTTTTTCATAAGCTCTCACAGACCACAAAGTCTGAAAAAGCCGGTTTCTTGTGGCACCGGGTCCGGAGAGAAGAGGGTCGGGTGTGCTGCCAGAGCAAGGTGCAACGCCCAAAGCCTCCCCAGACGCTTGGGGCTACAGCCCCACCGTAAGAGGGGCCAACATCACCAGCACGCGAGTTCACAGCTGATTACAGAGTAAGCAGAGGCAAAAAACACTGCAAGGGATGAGCTCTCCAGTAAGGTCCCGAGACATGAGCAAGAAACACCACTGAGCTACAGGAACCCTAAGGTTGGTACTTCCCGAGTCGGGATCCCTTCCAGTCCTGACCTGGCCATGGCAAGAAGGACACCCAGATGCTGCCCACGACCAGAGCAGCTCAGCACCAGACCTGATGCATCTCGCACCAAGCGCTTCCCATACACTCCTCCCCTCCCTGCACCCTCCCTGTATTTGCTGGGTTTGGACACCCAGCCTAACTCAGCTTGAAGCACGATAAAACCTGGAGAGAGTCACCTGCAGCCACTGAGCTTTTACATAATTCTTCCCTATTTGACTTTTACATAAGCTTTTGTAACCTGGTTTGTGCAAACTCCTTATCAGTTAGAGCTTCTTGACCTATAGCTAAAATTATTTCTCCTGATGGGAATATCAAAATGAGGTTTCAATTACAAAAGTTTACACACCACACCACCCTACCCCCCCCAGGTTATTTGGCACAGTGGTATTTAATGCTTAAAATATTCCCATAGGAGCAGGTGTAGGTGTGGACAAGCAGGAGACATCTGGGCAGGAGCAGAGTTCAGCCTCCGGAGCCCACTGCCCCTGGCTCAGCAAACCCCTGGTTTTGCAGGGGTGGGGAGGAGCAGTGAGCTCCCTCTGCCCCTCCGGAGTTACCGTCGCAGCTGCTCGCCGGCACAGCCGCACCGAAAGCCCTTTTGCCCAGGTCAGGCACAGCCTTTCACCGCAAACAGCCGGCTTCAGCTTCGCTATTTAGCGTGAATTACAGTCAGCTTCGTCTCAGCCCAGTGGAGAAATCCAATTGCTTGTAGCACTAATATGATTTGATAAATAGTTTGAACCAACATAACTTCATTGTTGAGCTGCCGATTCAATCAAAGTCCTAAACCCATCATGACCTTGATTTCATGGCTTGATCATAACCAGCGTTTAATGAAATTACAGCAGTTTAGTTTCCTTGGTGACTCTTTAATCTTAATATTGTTTTCATTCTTCTTCATAAAAGACATGAAGTGAATGGAATTGGTTTATTCTCCTGGTTTTCAACACAGGTCAAAAAAAATCTCGGTAACTACATAACCAAGATGAGATATTTGAGGCAGTTAGCTGTCTCAGCTTTCATTCCTCATGTATAACAAAAGCTCTGGACTGATTCATAAGGAATAAAAAGCCTGGCTTTATTGCAATATTCAGCAGTAACAACCCACAACCACAGCATCTCTCTTGACCATGACAGACAAAGCTTTGGAGGTGGAAAATCTCTCCTGCAGCCTAATTGCACTTTGAGCTGCTTTTAAGCTACACGAGTCGTCTTCACTGCAAACCACAAGGTATTTTAAATCCTCAACCATTTTAATCCTGTGACCCCCATCCTCATCTATTAAACTCCACAAAACAAGCACAAGAGACAGTGGCCAGGTGACATGGGACTTGCAGACAACCCTGGATCAGCTCTCTCCATGCAACAAGTGGCTGATGAAGCTCAGGAGAAGCCTCCTGCAAGTGTCCATGAGCATCATGCCGCTGCCTCATCCCGGGCAGACCTCCTCAGCCTCCACCTTCCCAAAGCTACTGCTCACCAGCCACAAGATAATTAGTTATGTGCAGTGCCTGCTGAATATCGGCATTTATTTGTGCTTTATAAAGGGGGGAAATCTGAATTGAAGAGTCACAGGTGAGGTGTTTGGGCTGTTTTACTGGGCTTTCTGATCAATCTAGCAGAGCATGGAGCCCAAGCCATGCTAGTACCCTGGCCCAGGTGAGGGCTGTCCTCTGCCACCTGGCAAACCAGAGCCTGAACAGCCCCAAAACTCCTCTCACCTCAGCAGAGTGAGGTGTTACAGAAACCACGATCCTGGAGGCCCCCCAAAGGAGGGCAGCACTGCTGCTCCCACCGCGCTCATCTCGCCCACCCATCCCACTTGCAGGCGATGACAAGATGTGGTCACTCAACAAGTGGTGAAGAGGCAGAAAGGAGCAATTCTGCTTCCCGTAGCATTAAATACGAAGAGAGATGATGACAGAGCATCAGACTCCTGGCTGCTGACTGCTACAGTAGCTTAAGTGCATGAGTCTTCAAAAGAGTAAGATGTTATTGCTTTATTGAAGGAGATGACTGATGCAGCTACCAGGATGTTTTCATCAGCTTCTCCCATTACAAGGAAAGTAATCTGCAAGAGCCCATTAGAAGAGCTCCATCCAGTTGTTGTCTGATCAGTCTGTGGTCCCCAGGCACCAGCCTGATGAAGTCTTCAGCTTCCCACAAGCATCACGAGGTGCCTTCAACAGCCTCCTCGGAGGCCGCCAGGGGTTTTACAAGCTGGACGCAGGGGTGGCTCTGGGCCAGCTAAACAAACCGAACCGCTCGCAGCAGCTCCCCAGGGCGAACTGCTCTGTTTAAAGCCAGCTGAGAAAGATTTTTGTGGAGCAAAGCCCCACGGTGCGCCACCAGCAGCTCTGCAGATGCTCCTGGTTCACTAAGCCCGGTTTCACTAAGCCCCACACAAAGCCCCCTCCTCAGCCCGGTACCAACACCCGCGTAGCTCCAGGCTGGACCCACCCTTGCAGCAATCCCCCCACCTCTCTGATGCCCGGGCAAGGGTAAGAACAGCATCGAGGGTGGCCCAAAACACCCTCTTTTTCTGTTGAAAGGAAATACCAGCAGCGCAGCCAGCAGAGAACAGAGGGAAAACTGCCCTCTTGGCTGAATTCAGCAATTTAGCTTTCTATTCTGATCGAGGAGGGGGAAAAAAAAAAGTGAGCAGTTGAGTAGTCTCATAGCTCTTTAAGCTCAAAAGCCATCATAAGGCTTTTTCAGAGATAAGCGCTTCCTAAATACTTACTGCTGAAAGATTAAGAGAATGAAAGCCTGATCCTGTTTCCCTGCCCAAAGCGGCCGTGCTAACAGAACTACCCTGTCCCTGCCACATCACAGCAGGAGGATCAAACCATCGCTCCTCTCCCAGCTATATAAAGCCGATCGCTGGGATGGATTTTCTCCCTCCTCCGACTCCGGGTGTGGGATGGGGATCCCTGCACGGCAGCAGCCCAGGAGCGTTAGGCAGGAGAGGGGTGGCTCCGGCAGCAATTTCGCTCTGTTGTCCCTGTCAGCAGCTTTCGCGGGTGGGGGATAAAGGTTTGATCCCCGAGTTTCCCCACGCTGAGCCTCATTGCCTAACGGCTTT